GCGCCTCTTGTCGCATTTAAATTCAGTAGAGCCGTCGATCCAATTCACCCTTGAATGTGAAAAGGATAGACATTTGCCCTTTCTTGATTTAAATGTATCCAGAAGGGTTCAGGGTAATTTAGAGACAAGTGTCTACCGTAAACCCACCCACACAGACCAATACCTTGCTTTCGATTCTCACCATCCTATTTGCCATAAAAAGTCTGTAGCCAAAACTTTACTTAGGAGGGCTGACTGTCTACCATCATCACTCGATTCGAAGGCTGAGGAGAGGAAATACGTTTCCAATGTCCTAAAGGCAAAGGGCTATACAAAAACTTTTCTCCGTAACTGCCAAAAACCAGTTACAAATAGTAACGCTCTTGATGAAAGGGAACCAGCGACTGGTTTTGCTGTTATTCCTTACATACAGGGTGTTACTCAACCCATCAAGAGAATTTTGAATAGCCACAACGTTAAAGTTGCTCAAAAACCTTTTCAGACTTTGGGGCATATTTTCGCCAAACCCAAGGATCCTGTCACGAAAGAACAACGAACCGACACCATTTATTCTATTCCTTGCAATGACTGTGACAACGAATACATCGGACAGACCAAACGCCAGTTTAGTACACGGTTAAAAGAGCACCAAAAAGCAGTTTTTCTTTGCAAAAAGGAAAATTCAGCTTTATTGGAGCATACTTGCCTAACCAACCATACAATTGGGTGGGATAATTCTAAAATTATCACCACTAATCGGCGTTACCACCAGCGCTTTTGTTTGGAGGCTTGGCACATTAACTCTGCCCACGCTCCTTTAAATTGTGACCATGGCGGTCTGCTTCCTGACGCCTACTAACACCTCGTCAGAAAAAAAGGCCGCTAATTAGTGATCATATAAAAGGACTTCTTGTTGCAGCGCTTAGATCACCCCTGATGAAGGCACTAGACAGGAGTGTCGAAACGTTGGGTCTATGAATTGTAACTTCTTCGGTTACATTCATTAAATCTGCAAACCAGTGTAGCATCAAACTATGTCTGAAGGTGCTTCTTCGTTGTCAGATACAGAACAAAACGTCTGGTACATCCCACACCATGGAGTATACCATCCGAAGAAACCAACGAAGATTCGCATTGTTTTCGACTGTGCCGCAGAGTTTAAGAGAGAGTCTCTGAATAAACACCTGTCACAAGGCCCAGACTTAACAAGCACTCTTACAGGTGTCCTGAACAGGTTCCGTCAAGGGCAGGTGGGGTTAATGTGTGACATTGAGTCCATGTTCTATCAAGTGTACATTGCCGAAGATTACTGGGATCTACTGCGCTTCCTGTGGTGGGAAAATGGAGACTCTTCAAAGGATCCAATTGAGAGCCGAATGACTGTGCACCTTTTTGGTGCAACCTCATCTCCTGGTTGTGCCAATTTCGCTTTGAAAAAGACTGCGCAAGATAGCGAGTGCAAATTCAGATCAGCTGCCGCTGACTTTCTGTGGAACGACTTATATGTGGATGATGGATTAAAGTCCTGTGCCATGATTGAGGAGGCAAACCATTTGATCAAGTTGGTTAAAGAAGTGTGCAGAAGAGGTTTCAACCTGCAGAAGTTCGTTTCCAACAGGAAGGCGGTCATAAAGAACATCCCAGTGATTGACAGAGCTGATGACCTCAAGAGCATAAACCTCGACCTTGACAAGTTACTCATGGAATGAGCACTTGGTGTTCAGTGGTGTATTCGGTCAGCCACTTTCCAATTTTGTATAGTATTGAAGGACTGTCCTTGCACAAGAAGGGGAATCCTCTCCACCATCAGTTCTATTTTTGACCTGCTTGGTTTTATTGCACCAGTGCTATTAGAAGGAAAGAGTTTTCTACAAGATTTGTGCTGCAATAGTGTGGATTGGAACAAGCTAATAATACCCGAGGTGATCAGAGCAAGATGGGAAAGATGGTGGACCGAGCTTCATGTTCTTCAGCACTTTTCAATTCCCAGATGCTTTAAACCTGATGATTTTGGAACAGTAGTAAAGAAAGAGCTGCACCATTTCTCTGATGCCAGCACTAAGGGTTACTTTCAATGTAGTTATCTGAGGCTTCAAGATGATTCTGGCAGAATCCATTGTGCCTTTGTAGCTGGCAAGTCGTGAGTGCCCCCCCAAGCCTGTCACAATTCCACGCCTTGAATTACAAGCCGTGGTGACTTCTGTGAAGATAAGCCAACAGATACATCAGGAGCTAAGCCTTGATGACGTCCAAGAGTTCTTCTGGTCTGACGGCAAGGTTGTTTTGGCCTACATTGCCAATGAAAGTCGTAGGTTCCATGTTTTTGTTGCCAATCGAGTTCAGCTCATTCAAGACTTGACTTCAGTGGATCAGTAGAAATACGTTGAAACTAAGCTAAACCTGGCAGATGACATCTCCCACAATCTCAGTCCAAATGCTCTCGTTACTTTGAAGTGGTATACGGGACCTGCATTCTTGTGGCAGAAGGAGAATGAATGGCCCTTCGATGAAAAGGTTTTGCCAGATCCTAGCCAAGTGCTGCCATGTGATCCTGAGGTCAGGAAAGTCACTGCCTTACCTACAAGGTAGACAAAGAAGGAGCCGTAGATTACAGACCATTTGGAATACTTTTCTGATTGGTTCCGTGCCAGATGAGCCATTGTCTTAAGTCTTCTGTATCTTCAAAGGGTACGAGAGCAAGCCTTTGCAGAGCCCAGGGTCAGCAATAAGAAGGCCATGCCTTAAGTGCAAGATCTTCAAGAAGCAGAGACTGTCATCATCAAGTCCATCCAGTGTAACACCTTTCCTGAGGAGCTTAAGTTGTTGAAGTCCTCACAACATGTTAAATTACTTGAAGACAGATTGGCTGCACCAGCAGAGATAAAGTTTAGTCCAAAGCAATCCTCCCTACATAAGCTGGATCCCTTCCTTGACTCGCAAGGAATACTACGTGTTGGCAGCCACCTTAGAAATGCTTCACTCCGGTTTGAAGTCAAGTTCCCTGTGATCCTACCTCGAAGAAGCCACGTGACTACCCTCATTATCAGGTACTTTCATGAGAAGATAAAGCATCAAGAGCGGGGCATGACTTTGAATGAGATAAGAGGCAATGGTTATTGGATCGTGGGTGGAACAAGTGCATTTGGAAGCTACATCTGGAGCTGTGTGGTCTGTAGAAAGATGTGTTCTGCAGTGGTAGAGCAGAAGATGGCAGATCTGCCAGAGGACCGACTAAAACCTGCTCCACCTTTCACGTTTTGTGTAGTGGACTACTTTGGCCCCTTTTCCGTCAAAGAAGGCAGAAAAGAAATGAAGAGGTACAGAGTTCTATTTACATGCTTAGCTTCAAGAGCCATTCATTTGGAGACTTCCACTTTGCTTGAAACGGATGCCTTTATAAATGCACTTTGTCGTTTTACATGCCGCAAAGGGCTGATTTGCCAACTACGAAGTGACCAGGGAACGAATTTCGTTGGCGCCAAGCATGAGTTAAAGGCTGCACTTGCAGAACTCGACCACGAACACATCAAAACAGAATTACTTCTGGGGAATTGTGATTGGTTCACCTTCGCTATGAATGTTCCGTCTTCTAGCCACATGGGTGGAGTTTGGGAGTGGCAGATCCGTACAGTCAGAAACGTCCTGTCCCCACTTCTTCAGAACAATGGCCTACGGCTGGAGAACAAGTCACTTAGAATGTTCATGTGCAAGGTGGAGGCCATCATTAATAGCCGTCCATTGACAGTTGATCTCTTAAATGACCCAGGTTCGCTGAGCCCCTTGACACCAACCCCCCCTTGCTCACTATGAAGACGAAAGTTGTTCTCTCGCCACCTAGTGTTTTTCCCGCTGACAAGTTCTGCAGAAAGCGTTGGAGGCATGTCCAACATTTGGCCAACAATTTCTGGTCACGATGGTGGAAAGAATACCTGCTTAGCTTACAACAACGTCAGAAGTGGACAATGTCCCGGAAAGATGTGGGTGTGGACGACATCATGATCATTAAAGATGATAACACTCCCAGCAGTCATTGGCAGCTGGCGCGTGATTGTGCAGTCAACCGAAGTTCTGATGGACGCGTTTGCACGGTGAAGTTAGTGCTAGCAGACGCCTGTCTGATAAGAAAGGAAGGAGAGTCAAGGAAGTGAAGTTCCTGAAGTGTCCAGTTCCGAAGCTTGTCCTGTTGATGTCTAAAGATGACTATGAGAGCAAATCCTGGGGTGTATCCCAGCCGAGGAGCCATTGACTTTGCTGATCATTTGATAGTTTTAAGCAAGAACACTTAAGACTTTTTATAATGTTTATTTCCCTTTAGCTAATTTGCCTATTTGTAGTGAAACACGTTGGTGTTTCAGGGGAGCCATGTAAATGCGCGACTTTAAATTTGTGACATTTGTGTTACAGTTGGCCTTTGTGCCATTTGATTCCCTTGGATAGTCTTTCTCTCCCGCTGATTTTTAGTTGTTGCATCGTACGCCCTTTCACTATTCACTGTTCATGTCCGGCGTACATCCTGAGTTAATTTCTTAAGTTTTGTTTCAAGCCACTGGCATATAGGGACTGATATTTAAGTTGTATTCGCTTGTTTTCACTTTTGTAGCTTGCCCCATTCATGCAAGGTAGCGTTTCTCTTGCTATCATCTTATGCCTTTGTGTGTGTTACTTAGTCACTGCCTTCGTATCGTCTAGTTATAATTTTCCTTTATCTCGTTTCGAGCAAGCTCTTTCGTCTTTATTTTGTATAAATATTTTGTGTTTTGTGCTGTCTCTGTAACGTATCCCCTGGATTGGTTGGTATTTTCTCTGGTCGTGATTTTCTTGGCTCTTCGATTGGTCTTGATGTTCATTTGCCGCAAACATAGCTTAAATGACCTCAAAATATCTGAAGTCAAATTTTCCAAGCTTCTGTTAGGAGAGATTTTATTGATAAGAATGCTACTAATGTAAACCTATGTGGTAAATTTACTCCACCCAACAAAAGGACCACATCCATCAGAATATTTTATTTCAATCACTATTTACTTGTAAAAGACCTTTATATGGAGTTCTGATAGTTTTTGATGGAAACCTTTCAGGATTTGCAAAATTGCCATTTTTCCTTTCAATACCGGGATCATGTGTACTATAGGTGGCCTTATAATCGGCCAATATATCGGTTGACTATCGACCGACTATAGGTCGACAGTGGACTGACTATCGGTTGACAGTCGACCGACTGATAGATGGGCTGACAGTGGACCGATAAATGTGCACATATCGGCTGATGCATCAGCCGACAGTCAGTCGATATATCAGTCGACCATCGGTCGACTATCGGTCGACTATCGACCGATAGTTGGTCGTTTGTCGACCGTTAGTCGACGGATAGTCAATCGATATATCGGCCGACAGTCGACTGATAAATGTGTACATATTGGGTGATGCATTGGTCGACTATCTGTCTATATATCGGTCGACTATCGGTTGACTGTCAGTCAACTGTTGGTCGACTGTTGACCGATAGTCGGTCGATTGCCGACCGATAGTTGACCGATAGTTGACCAATAGTTGACAGATATATCAGTCGATTGTCGGCCGATATGTCGACCAAGGCCACCTATAGTACACATGATCCCAATACTGTCCTCCCACTTAACATAATCCTTTATCAACTCAGTTACTCCCCGGGTATTTAGAGGTTTGCATTACAACAAAAGAAAGATGTTATTTTACATGACTTATTCAGATGCTGGAAATGTAAGAGTTGTGCCAGTTCACTTACCATTTCCCTCAAGAGAATAATAGTGATTAACCTTGGAATACTCTGTCAATCTCAATCCCAAGTGACAGTCACACTGCCAACTAAACACTGGTTGACAAAGAAGAGAAGATGCATTTCACCTGTGCATTTCTTTAGCATTGATATTGATCACTTTAGAACAAACATCAAGAAGTTTTGCCCCACTGTTATTGGTACATTGCATAACCAAAACAGATAGCACCCTCCATCTGCTCAACATTCTAGACATTCTAACAGTAAATAATGTGTATTGATTGACACAATGCTTCAAAGTTTTTGCATCTATGGCACAAAGGCCTACTTAAGTGAATCCATTCCAAAATCATTTTCAATATGCAAGCAGTATTCATGGATACAACACCAGATATGCTCCCAACCAATTTATGTAAACATTGAGTGTGCAATAACTCTGGAAAACAAAAAATTGCTAAGAAAATGAAAGCTGACCTTGATGAAACAATAGAAAATCTTGATGAGTGAACTTGGAAGTCATAACTGAAAGTCCCACTCTGAAACCAGATGTGCCAGCACCCACGCAAGTAGAAATGGAAAAGTTTTAATGAAAAACAAAGCCTGTTTTTATGAGCATGGTACCACTGTATGCTGACCAATACATGTTGCCCAGTCACAAAATCCCAATCCAAACTTAGCAACTATTCAGCTTCCTGGCTCTTCATTTGAACTTTTTCTAAGTGTCCTAAGTATTTTTTATTTTAAATTTGTAATGTATGACAGTGTATAAAGTATTACACATTATGCGTAAAAAAAATGGTCACATAGTTGCTAAGAACTAAGACCAATAATTTCAAACCTTAAATACAACTACCAGCCAGGAAAAGGAAACAAAAATTTGCTTCATATGCAGTTTAGGCAGCTATCTATGAAAGTTAGTTTATTAAAATAACAAAGTGAAAAAAACGTTGTAAAAGTGAACAAAGAGAACTAGATGCTGTGTGCCATAAATTGTCAGTCATACATATGCCCCTTGGAGATTTAATAGAAGGATGTGGTTGTAGTGATGATAAACAAATTTAATAAAAATTAGACACCAATGCTTAAAGAAAAACACTGTCAGGGCTATGTAAAAAGATTTTAAATTGATACATTGAACAACTTTTTATTCTACTGAAGAATTCTTTTTGTTGGTCTTGATATCTTGATATTTACATGTCTGCAATGAAGATTAGGTCATACCAAGGGGTTAGATTTGACTTTGTAGAGATATTCCAGACTATATTTTGATTTTTTCTACTGTAATTTTAGCCTTTACCAATTTCTTACTTTCTTATTTGTAATGGGTATGGATATAATTGTACATGGATGACATACATAAGTAGCACCTCATGCAAAAAATTTGCCACTCCCATGCTAACAAATACTAAGAAGTTCAACACATCTCAGCCCTGCAGGGACTATGTTTGTTCTCTTTTAAGAAACACGTGCTAGTATGCAACGCCACACAGTGGCCACACAGAACAGCCTTGAACCCTCAAATAAGAAACATTTTGCTCCCCAATTCAAACATTTTTGTTAAAAAGGCATACTTTGCGTTAACTATTTAAGTCACCTCTCAAATGGGTTTTAAGCCCACTTGTTAGTGTTTAATCTTTTTTTTCAAACCACAATAAAATAAACAACATTGTTTTAATGCAAAGAGCATTTTTTTTTGTTCTGCTATCTTTTCATCCCTGGATTTTTTTTATTCCTGTATATTCCAAAGTAAACCACAAGGAATATATATATATATATATATATATATATATGTATATATTGATATAATAAACTCAGTTATGCATGCATTCTGATTGGTTCTCACTTATGATCTATTGGAGGACAGATGTATAGATGATGTCATCGTTACAACTTTTTTTAATTCCTTATTATATAAAACAAATAGATTCCAAGTTGCTGTGCATCTGTTCAGTAATAGATCTGCGGTGTCATCCATGTGTTTGGATGAATTTAAAATGCATTTATTATGGTTGTTGATGATCTGTTAAGTGTTATTCATGCAGCTGTAACTTATTTTGATGGTGTTATAATTAAAGATTCTCCTAAGTTTGTGGTCTTTCAGGAAGTGCTTTTGTCTACTAGGGCTAAGAATCTGTGTGTGATATTGGTGCTGACATTTTTGCTGAATGGGGTTTGTACCCGAGTATGTTGTTCCATAGTCTGTTTTTTTGTTTGCTAGTTGTGGGTGGTTCATAGTGTAAAGTGTACCGGTATCTGCATTCTTTGAGTGCTTATTGATATGGAGCCGCCGCTCCATATGAAAAAGCATTTGTCAAGTGTTTTTCGATGTGGAGGGGCAGCTCCATGTCAAAAAGCACTCAACAATTGCGGATACCTGTCCACTCTACATTACAAACCACCCACAACTAACAAATGAAAAGACAGAACATACTCTGGTACAACCCCCCATTCAAAATTTCAGCACCAATATTGGACACAGATTCCTTACCCTAATAGACAAACACTTCCTGAAAGACCACAAACTTAGAGAAATCTTTAATTGTAAGTCAATCAAAATCTGTTACGGCTGCAAGAATAACACCAAACAGACCATTGCCAACCACAACAAATGCAATTTAAATTCATCCAAACACATCGATGACACTGCAGATGACACCAACACAAAAGACACCAAACCTTGCAGCTGCCAACAGAAGAACACATGCTCACTTAATGGAAACTGCCTCCAATCATCACTAATCTACCAAGCCACCATCACACGTAAGGATAACAGCACCACTGAAATGTACATTGGACTTACAAAAAATGGCTTAAAGACTAGATACAGAAACCACACTGCATCATTCCAACACACAAAACACAGAAACTCTACTAAACTCAACAAACATATCTGGACCCTTAAAGAAAATAACATTGACCACTTTATTTTATGACATATCCTTTCATCAAGATCACCCTACAATAGCGCAAGCAAAAGATGCAACCTCTGCTTCAAAGAAAAATTACTTATCATCCACCAACCTGAATTATCATCACTCAATAAACACAATGAACTTGT